CTTAACTTAGATATCCTAGCATATAGTCCATCTATCTGTAATAAAGCAGAGGTAATCAATCGTTTTCGATGCACCTTCTTCAGCCACATTTTGGTAGAGAAAGGTATTTTGGCCGTTAGCCACTCAATGCAGACTTGCGTTAGCATAGCTAGCTCGTGGAAAGAACGCTTTCCTAACGCTAATTTTTAAATAAACTAGCGCAATCAAAGCGGTTGCGTCGCCAACTTTACAAAGTCGGCAGTTCAAGTAACAAAGAAAAGAAGAGGTGCAAAATTTGCTTCCAAGACAAGGCAAAGTAATCTAATTTCTATATTTTCAGCGTAACCATGTATCTAAGTGTACTTACTGAATGCTTTGCAATCTGAAATTAAAAATGGCTAGCCCCCACAGAACTCCTGTGACAGAAAACTTAAGGGCCCCAAAGTTTAAGGGACCAGATTATTGTAGTAAGCAAAAAGCATCTTCAAACAACATAATGGAACGTAGAGCTCAGCCAAATGGCACAATCATGGCGTCGAAACGTGTGGAAATTGGCGTTGTCTCCGAAGCCTGCCCCATTGTCCCTGCGGCTATATATTTTGTGCGTTTGCCCTCCCCTTCCTTGGCCTATTTCCTTGATTGCCTTCTGAGCTCCTGATAAGACAAGGCTTTCAACATTGTGTCAACTTTAGGTGCTGATGAGCTCGTCATATCTTACTATCTTATTTACCAAGATAAGTTAACAGTAGTAGATACATAAAACGGTTGGGGTCCTGAATTTTACAGTTGTCCCCACAAGGTGAAATAGAAATTAAAGGTCATCTGGCTGCATATATTCCCTCGAGATTTTCACCTTCTAGGTGAAGCGATGATGAACGGATTGTACACTGTGTTTAAGCGCAGTCTGGAGGAATCCACTGTATCTACACAATGGAAGATATCAAGAATGCATACCATCTATAGGAAGGGTGATGCATCAGACAGGGAAAATTATCGCCTTCGTCTGATGTTAAGTGTTCCCGGCAAGCTCCTAGAGGCAATAGTGTGCCAAGGCCTGCACGAATTTATCTCAGACACAGGACTTCTAAGTAATAAGCAATGGGGCTTCCGAGCTAGCAGGTCAACTGAGGGTCTTCAGATACATCTAACTGAAACCTGGAAGCAAACATTGGATAACAGACAGGTAGTTGGAGTTGTGTATATAGACTTTCAGAAGGCTTTTGACACGGTATCTCATACTATTTTGAGATACAAACTAGAAGCCGTTGGTATAACTGGAGATCTTCTGAATTGGACGATTAGTTATTTAACAAACAGAAAGCAGTTTGCCATTGTAAACGGATGTACCTCACAGACTAAGAAGGTCTGTTGCGGAGTGCCAGAAGGTTCCTTGCTTGGGCCAAGATTCTTCTCCTATTACGTCAATAATCTCCCTGATGCAGTTACTGAAGGTGAACTGGCCATGTATGCAGACGATACAACCTTATCTGTGGTCGGTGACAACGTGGAAGTAGTTATTGCTACGTTAAACAAATCCCTAACAAGTATTAACCTGTGGTGCAGAAACAACAAGCTGACCATACATACAGGGAAGTCAGAAGCCATGATTTTGACTCACTCATAAACCCTTCTGTGGACCACTAAAGCCTGTTATGTTAGGAAACAAGGTCTTAGATTTGTGACTGAAACTAAGTGTTTAAGAATTATTATTGACAATCAGTGTCTTGGCTGAGCTATATTGAATTAATTTGTAGGACCTTTGGCCAGAAAGTAAATCAGTTAAAAGGGCTCAAGTATTTAACAAAGGATACCTTACAGTCTGTTTACTTTACAAGTATTATTCCCACCGTCACTTATTGCAACTTAGTTTGGGGTACCTGCTCACCTACATTATTGCATGAAGTGGAGCATATCCACGCCAGGGCAGCCAAGATTATCTATAGGCTATCTGATGTTAGAAACCAAGAAGCTTTAACAAAAGCTGGATGGGAATCAATTAATTCCATGTACAAGAGAAAGTTATTGACTTCTATGTATCAAGTTTACAAATCTGAGTTACCTGATAACATAATTAGGCTTTTTAGCAGTAGCAATTGCTGTTATGATCTACGCATTAGCATTACGTTTGAGGTTCCCCGCTTTAACCTAGGGGTGGGCAGGAATTCGTTAAGATATAGGCGAATTTTGTTCTGGAACTCCATTCCAGACAATTTAAAAAGAGCACCAAGTCTAAACATTTTTAAAAAGCTTCTTAAGAAAAAGACCCTTGTTCGACAATATAAATTTCAACAAGATGAAATAGTATTTTAATTGTTCTTAACTTTTAATCTTTTATCTTACTACTGTATATTTATTCTTTTTATATACCTATTTTCTGTACATTTTTATTTTATTTTTATATCATCAATAGATAGTTTATCAATAGGTCCACATCAGCCTTAGCTGCCTTTTAACTTAACCTGCTTTACCAAATAAACTATGAATGAATGAATGAATGAATACAAAAAGAAGAAAGAAGGTGCACGATACAGAAAGAAGAGCAGGATTTGAGGCAATGTTAAGACAAATCACAGAGTCTGTTGTGATTAGTAAAATCACCAGCGAAGATAATGTAATGAACTAAAAAGGTGAATGGAACTACGTCCGCATACCAAGGACTGTTGTAACCCAATAGCCTCATTACTACTAGGGTTTATTTTTCACGCATTGCTACGTAGAGGTTCTGTTATTTTGAATATCGTGACGATCAACTGCAGAGATCGTTACACGAAACTAGTTTTGTGAATCGCCACATAAATTATATAGTGAGTTGGAAGTTGAAACAAATTAGCTTTTTTTCTGAAACACTTCAAAGAAAGGCCCAACAAATTAAAGATGCAGTCATCGTAACCAAGCGGGTTTCTGGTCTGCTAGAACTTATGGCTGGGCAGCTAGACCACTTGGCCAGCCATACTTTGGCTGAGGCTAATGAGTAGCATGAAAACCATCCAGGCATTAAATTTAAAAAAAAAACAGGTTAAATTTGTTAATAATTTGTATTCATATACTTTCAATGAAAAGGAAAGTTTTTTTAAGAAAATGTAATAAAAATAACATGTTTATTAAACAGAAAAGAGCACAAAGCAGTTACAGTTTGTTTTTAAAAAATTATGTATATACAGTCAATGAAAAAATTATAATTACACAGTCAATGGAATAAGAAAAAAATAATTCGTCCTATTGTGTATAGTCTCATGTCGCCCCTTATTATCTTCTCCATCTCCATCACCCTCCACTTCTTGAACTGACCTACATCATGTAGCAATCTACTACTCTTGACTAGGTCAAAGTAACATCCTTTCTCTAAGCAGCACTTACTGCGCATCATGCACTGTATGATTTTTCACATCATCTTCTAAGGATTTCCAAATAAGGAAGCACCTACATTAAAAATCAATCAATAATCTAAATAAATGTATTAAAGATCCCTTTCCCCTTATCCTTAAATGTAAGATAAAAATAATTCCTACAAGAAGAATATGGAGTTGGAGCACTCTATCAAATTAAATCACACAATGCATTGTTAATCTTAAAATCTAAGGCTGAAGGGCCCACTCACTGGCCTACTTTTTAACATATAACAATCACATGGTTATAAACAGTGGAGAGATGAAGACATTTGAATAAAAGAGCCTAAAGAAACAAGGCCAATCATAACCATAGAAAAGCAGCAGCATATTTCTACTGAAACGTTGTTAGCAGATTACTAGCACTGACTTGCGCAGGACTTGCGCAGTGCACCTCGTGGAGGTAGGACGTGTTTTTGTGAGCTCCACCAAATATGCTGTTCTAAACGCTTTAATAACGTACCTGTCATGGAAACCTACAAATAGATATAACCAGAAATGGGGAAGGACAAAGCGGACAAGAATCCGAGCAAAAGGCTGAGAGAAAATGGCTCGCAAACGAATGAAGATGATGAACATGTGGGCGTCGGTGGAGTAATGTCAGCACGCCTCGAGGAAATGAACACTAAACTAGATCAAGTTTTAACAGCATGTGGTGAAATTGCACTACTAAAAGATGAAATTCGCAAGCTGAGAGATGAGGTAAAGAATTTAAAACAATCTTTGCAATCTGTCGAGGAAGAAATTCAAAGTCTACAAGAAAGCCAGAAACAAACTTCTGCACAAGTAAAAGAAAACAATGAAGACATTGACTTCTTGTTCGAGGACATTGGAGCGCTAAGACGCAGAAACGTCAAGTTGGAAGCCTATACAAGACGTGAGAATGTAAGAATTTTCAATGTCGGGGAAGAAGAGGACGAAAATACTGAAGAGCTGGTAAGAAGTGTCTTCGTCGCTAATTTGAAAATTCCGGCGGATAAAGTCGACGATATCCGCTTTGAGCGAGTTCACCGAATCTCCACTAATAATTCTAGTCTAAGAGCTCCGTCCTATCCCAAACCAATTATTGCTCGTTTCAGTCATTATCAGGACAAAGAATATGTTCGCTCCTTCTATAAGAACTTAAAAGGAACCAACATCGGTTTCTCAGATGATTTCCCGAAAGAAATTGAAGAAATTCATAGAAAACTTTATCCAGTGCTTAAAAAGGCCAAGCAGGATAAGCAAAAAGCCTTCTTTAATTTTGATAAATTGATTATCAATGGCCAAATATAAAGAGGAAAAGAAACTAAAGACCTTCCCTATTATTGTAAAATGGCAAAAAATTATTAATGTATTAATTCCATGATCGGTTTCAAACTGAACAGTGAATCTACGTCCACTAGATGTTAAGAATTTTGTTTAATGTCAGTTTATATGTAAATGTACTATATGTTCTGTTTTGTTTTACTATTTTCTCAGTTGGAGGAGAAAATGTCTTTTGTTTCACTCTTTTTGAATGGTTCGTTAAACATCGGAAAGTACTTATCCCAAACAATATATGCATTTTTATAAAACACAACTGAAATGGCAGATTTATTTAAATTGGTTTCTTTGAACGTAAGGGGCATAAGTAATTTTCATAAAAGAAGAACTATGTTCACCTGGTGCCGAAAAAGAAAAGCTGATGTAATATTCCTGCAAGAAACGCATTCAAAAGAGGATTCAGAAAAACAATGGGCAAATGAATGGGGTGGTAAAGCATTTTTCTCACATGGTAGTCCAAATTCATGTGGGGTTGCGATATTGATTAGGAATAATTCTAATTGTGTAATCCAAAAATCCATTGTTGATCCCCAGGGAAGATTTATTATTTTGAAGGCAGGCATTCAGGATAAAGTGTACATTTTAGTTAATATTTATGCGTCAAACAAAGATAAAGTCAGCGGCAAATTTTATAAAAACCTACATAGAGTGCTACAGACAGAAGACTTAGATTGTGAAGAAAATATAATCATTGGAGGGGATTTTAACTGTCCTCTTCACCCTAAGCTGGATAAGAAAGGTGGCGTTATGGTTCCTAGAAAAATGGTTATTGATGATATTGAATGTTTACAAAATGAATTGGACCTTGTCGACGTCTGGAGAATTAAAAATCCACAATCTAGAAGTTACACTTGGAGCCAAAAATCTCCACCAGTTTTCTGTCGTTTAGATTACTGGCTGATATCGAACAACTTACAGGATTTTGTAAATACAACCGATATCATTCCAGCTGTAAAAACTGATCATGCAGCAATTGAGTTGAATCTAACCGACTCCAATCAAAACTCAAAGGGGCCCGGCTTCTGGAAAATGAACGTCTCTCTTCTCGAAGATCCGAATTATCTGGAAGAACTAAAACAAAATATTCCACTTTGGAAAACAACAGGAAGTGATAATTTATCAGACAAAAGGTGCATCTGGGATTGGCTTAAGTATAATATTCGGAACCATGCTATTTTGTTCTCGAAAAAGAAAGCCAAAGAACGATCTGCTATGGAAAAAACTTACAACAAGTATACGAGGAAGCAACCAAAAAATTCGAACAGGACCCTTCCGACTCTAACCTAAATACTCTAAATGAAGCAAAAGAAATTCTAGAAAGTTACTATGAGGAAAAAACAAGGGGTGTAATTATTCGCGCAAGGGCACGATGGCACGAGCATGGCGAGAGAATCACAAAATATTTTCTAAATTTAGAAAAGCGTAATCACGTCAAAAAACATATAAGAAAACTGCTAATAAGTGGTTCCATTACATCTGATCCTTTTGGGATACTGAACGAACAAAAACGCTTTTATCATAGCTTGTACAAATCAAACGTAACAGATGAGGATAGAGAAAATGGAAACGAATTTTTAAATAATTTGAATATACCAAGATTATCAGAAGAACAAAAACAATCTTGTGAGGGAGAAATATCTGTTAAAGAAATTACAGCCATCCTTAACAGTTTTTAGAATAACAATTTTCCTGGTAATGATGGAATACCAATAGAATTTTACAAAAGTTGCTGGGAATTAATTAGTGATCCATTTATGGAGTGTGTGAGAGAGTATTTCAACCACGGTGAAATGTCAAGCTCTCAAAGAAAAGCAATCATAACTCTTATAGAACAGCAACGTAAAGATCGAACTCTCATTGAAAATTGGAGGCCAATCTCTCTTATATTATTAACGTGGATGCAAAAATCATCTCAAAAGTGATTGCGTTAAGATTAAAGAAAGTTCTACCGAATATCATACATCATAATCAAACAGGTTATGTTGAAGATCGCTATATTGGTGAGACTATATCCGATCAATTTTCGATATAATGGAATTTACAGACAGTAAGAATATTCCAGGTATCTTGATTTTCATTGACTTTAAAAAGGCTTTCGACTCTTTAGAATGGCATTATCTTTTCAGTTGCCTTGAGGCTTTTAATTTTGGTCCCAATTTTATAAATTGGGTCAAACTGTTTTATACAAATATTCAAAGCTGTGTAATAAATAATGGAATGGCATCAGACTATTTTACTTTAGAACGAGGTGTGAGGCAGGGTGATCCTTTGTCTCCTTATCTCTTTATCTTAGCTGTTGAAAGCTTGGCAATCTCCATTCGTCAAAATGTTGATATCAAAGGAATTAAAATAGAAAATTACGAAGCCAAGCTATTGCGATACGCAGACGATACCACAGCAATCCCGTCTGATGAAAATTCTGCAAAAACGTTATTTCAAGAACTAGAAGTATTTAAGAACTTCAGTGGGTTGGAGATAAATAGCTCTAAAACAGAAGGAATGTGGATTGGTTCGCTTAAAAGAAAAGATGAAAAACCGTTTGGTATTAAATGGCCCAGTGAACCCATAAAAGCTTTAGGAACCTTTTTTACATATGACCAATCATTACTTTACGAAAAAAACTTTCAAGAGAAGGTTGACAGCATAAAGAAGCTGACAAATATATGGTCATCCAGAGGACTGTCCATTTATGGTAAAGTAACTATAATCAAATCATTACTTATTCCAAAACTAGTTTTTATATCTTCGGTTCTTTCACCTCCAAGTAAAATCATCAAACAAGTGAATAGTACAATTTTCTCCTTTTTATGGAATGGAAAGGATAAAGTAACAAGGCTCTCTTCAATAAACAGTTATGAAGACGGTGGCATAAAAATGACAGATATTGAAAGCTTGGTCAAAGCTGTACGACTAGCTTGGCTAAAACGTGTTTTCAGCGATAACGAAAGTACGTGGAAATTTTACCTGTTTCATCTCCTACGTAATGTTGGTGGTCTTTTACTTTTTAAATGCAATTATGCAATGAACGATCTTTCAATCAACTCGGTTTTCTACAGAGAACTCTTAGAATGTTGGTTAGAATTTCGAAATCTCTTTTCAGCTAACAAAGAACGGCTCTGTATAATTTGGAATAACAAAGATATAAGAATAGATGGAATACCAGTCTTTTATAAATCTTATTATGACTCGGGGATATGTATTATTAAAGATCTCTTGTTTAATCTCGACAATATAGAATCCTTTAATGCAATCAATAACATAGTTGAGAAAGCTAATTTTCTTACATGGACAGGTCTCAGGCACGCAATTCCTTCTATGCTGAAAACAATAGAGTACACTACCTTTACAGAAAATACTTATTTTACAAAGGGGAATGAGATTTTTGACATAGCGGAAAAGAAAACGAAAGACTACTACTCTTTAATAATATCAAATAAAGCACAATTACCTAGTAATGCAAAGAATTTAAAACATGATTTTGGCTTATCTGACGAAGACTTAAAAATTGCTTACAACCTTCCCCATCTGACAACACAGGAGCCTAACGTCAAATCCTTTCAATATAAAGTTTTAAATTCAATACTTTACACTAATGCAAAACTTTTTAAAATTGGATATCTCCAGCATGACAAATGTACTTTTTGCAAGACTGAACAGGAAACATTATGTCACTTTCTATTTTACTGTCAGCACTCAAATATGTTGTGGAAAAATGTTGAACAGTATTATTTAACAATAACAAAGGAATTTCGCGGGTTGTGTTTACGAGAGGTTATAATTGGAATAACGTTGGGCAAATGCCCCTTGTTAAATTATCTGATATTAATTGGTAAATTGTATTTATGGGATTGCAGAAAGAAACAGGTACTTCCAAACATCGAAGGTTTCAAATTTAAAGTAAGAACTAAATATCAAGTTGAAAAATATATTGCCACTAAGAATAATAAATTAGAAACCTTTCTCCCCTTTAATTAATTTCGTAAGTATGTAATTAAAATTGTAATCTTTTATTTGACACTTTTTTTGTATTTTTTTGTATTTTTTTTTGTATGTGTGTGTTTGTGTTGTATTTCAGAGCGTACTGTAAATATTAAGAGTTAATCTCTCTTTTATCTACATAATTAAGTATTAATTAATTCTTTGTAAAATAAGCCTCATTCGGCAATTGCGCGGCTGTTTTGTGGCTGTAATGTATATAATTGTGAAATGTAGATAATTGTAAGTATGTCTGTTATTGCGGTTGTTTAGAGCATTGTAATTATTTTCTTTTTAAGTAGTTCTTTGTAATTATAGTAATAAATGTCTTGAATAAAAAAAAAAGAAAAAAAAAAGATTACTGGCACTGGAGCAAAAAGGGCAAACTAGCAGACTGGCTGTGTTGGAGGAGCAATGTCTAAATATAATATAAAAATGAGAGTGCCATGACTAATGGCAACTTTATTTGTGTTTTGGAATTAAGAAATGGTAAACGTGCAACGTGCAACCATGGGGTTATGGAGGTTGCTAAGCACCAAAGAAGCGTAAGAGTCGCACGAGGCGATAGCCGAGTGCGACTCTAACTTCTTGAATGCTTAGCAAACCTCCCAAGTGCATTCATAACTCCATGGTTGCACAGCTGCAACGTTTACCATTTCTTTTATAACATAATCAAAAGAGATTTTCCATTTGCCTTCGGTTGAGTCATCGGTACGAGTTCATGTATGCTGCCATCTGCCCGCGCGTAAATCAAATCATGTTCTATGTTTTTCAAAAACTTGCCTTTGAGTTTTTCTTTCGCTGAATCAACCGTTCTCCGTCTTCAGGTAAATTGCAAAACGTTTTTCGATTGTTATTCTGAATGGCATCTGTCTACTTGCTCTTAATATTAGGGTAAAAACTTTGAGGGAAAACTATAGCTGCAACTATAAACACCAACTAAAAAGACTAAAAAATAAGCTAAAACTAGATAAATAAAATAAATATCAAGCTTATTTATGTGACAATTTTTGAAATAAACGTAAAGTAGAAATGACAAAATTTGACTGTAATTCCTTTAGAATAACAGTTAACACTAACTTTAAAAAGAAATTAAGTGCCATTGTCTGAGAAAATGGGGCAGAGGCCACGGATCGAGGTCAACCGATTCCTTTCATCTTTCGCAGTTTATGAGGAAATAAAATACTTCTTTGTACTCATTATTACCCTTACTATACATGTAAAAAAAAAAAAAACGAAGTTTGGGACCTGGTAAATCAGAAACGTTAACGAGAGTTAAAAGTCCATTTTATCGCTAATATCGGGCAAAAGGTCATGTCACGGAAAGTTTGTCACGCATTCTTAATTGACTGAGACTTAAATAAATCTTACTGAGAAATTCGGTACATTACAAAATACAAAATTCAGCTTCTTATTAAAAAAGAAAGTTTATAAAATAAGGCTATCCGTCAAACATCAGCATTATTTCTTTGAAAACTGTTTCCGTTTTGTCTACATTTGCGCGATGGCACAACGCCAGTTTTACATGCAGTCTGCAGATTCTTCGGGAAAAGATAATAAAAAGTAAAAAACGTCTTTCGGGGAATTTTCGATATAAATTTGGCTATTAGAATGACGGGTGAATGCAACTGACAAAAACTTTGATATATTAATTTTTATGGGGCTCTTTTTTGAGAAACTTGAATAAGTTTTTTTTACTTCTTTGGATTTCACCTGTCAGTCATCCTAATTACAAAATTTTCAGACACACTTTGGAAAATATACATCACTTTTCTGTCGATGTTAAAAAACGATAGCATCTTCAAAATGAGTTGCTCCTTTTTTCCGAAGATTCACATTATGGACCTGCACCGTGAAAAAGAGGATATTACTACCGTTCCAGTAAAGTCGTGTGCGAATAATATATTTGACCATCTGTCCGCTCTCGGTGTAAGTGGAGAAACGCAAAGTACAAGTGGATGTACGCAAATTGGCGAAGCCGAAGTCCTTTTTAACCGTGACGGTTTTATCGCGCCCAGCCAAAAACAGGTAGACGAATTCACTGTGTGACCACGGCATAGATATCTCTTGCCCTATGGATGGCCGGGTAGAAAGCGATTGACATGTTTCCATCCTGATCATCTGGGAAAGCGCACGAAGCAGAATAAGGCTCGACGCGTCAACCTGGAAATGTCGAGAAGCATATATTTCTTGGAAAACCATTCAGTTCCACTTGGAGCAGGTAAGAGAAAACATTATTACATGCATTGATAGAACACTTCTTGCACATTATCTCAGTGACTTCTTTTTAATAAACTGTATTGTTTTTCCTA